CCTCACAGTCGATGTCGATGGTTCGCCTGGAGTTACCCATGATCTTTTACGCTTAGGATTCTCAAAATATATCCACTTCTCATCGCCAGTCACAATTCGATGGAGAAATGACTTTCTTTTGTATCTGACGAGTAGCATTTCGCAAGTGGTTTTTCGGTTTTCCTGCTGTCTTTCATTCAGTTCATGTGGAACCCATCTTCTGGATCTTTCCCATGGATTTCAAACGTATGGAGACAGCTTCTCATGTCACATTCAATTGATCCGCGAGTTGTTGTTGAGTTTGAGCGTCATCCTCATCCAACAATGCTTGCAATTCGCTGTCTTAAAACTTTTTCGGTGGTTTTCCACGTTCTTCGTTTCTCACGTCAAAATCGCCACTTTTGAATTTTTTAAACCACTCAAAGCACTGTGATTTACCAAGAGCATGCTCACCGTAAGCTTCGACAAGCATTCGATGTGATTCTGCAGCAGTTTTCTTCAAATGGTAACAGAAAATCAATGCTGTCCGCAAATCGTAGTTTCCAGGCACAAAATTCGACATGTTCAACGCTATTACAAACTATACCGTTGTATGAAACTTGTTGTGAGTTGAAAATCTTTGTCAGATGTCAGAACAAGGAAATGGCGTCAATGACGCGGTCTGATGGCAACTACATTGACAGCTATGGCCATTTATTGGTAAATTCCGATTTCATATTTACATACCTGGTAGAGTTCCCCTAGTAAGGGGCTTCGCACAATAAAAGGAACAGGGAACAGAGAACAGAAAATAAGAATTTCAACCTATCAGAAATCATATATTGTGGAACACACAGTGTGTATTTCACAATATGTGATTTCTAATAGGTTGAAATTCTTATTCTGTTCTCTGTTCCCTATTCCTTTTATTGTGCGGAGCCCCTTAGAGTTAAGACACAAGAGCGGAAGGACGCCATTGCTGGGTATCGGATACTGACCGGAAACAGCACCATTTGACAATTGATATTCCGATTTCGCGTTCGCGTCTTCTATACCATAAAACAGTGCTCACACCAATTCACAGATTCACTACCACATCAAAAGTATCTGCAAATGGAGGCGTTTAAAGGGATTCGAAATCTGATCAATCAGGAATCGATGCCCCTCATGACTTGACTCTTATTAGAGGCACTCTACGCACATCGACATGTCTTTTTATACTACCACAGCAATATCTCATGCAATCTATGATACACGCAGTCACACGTACGTGTCAATTTTTGTATAACAAATTAATATAAATTTATAGATAAAGCGTCTACAGCCAGTATTCATAGTCGGATCTCATATTTAAGACAGTCTTAAGATGTCATGAACCAATCAGAAGACCGCATTAGCGACTTAAGACATTACTTAAGATGATCTTAAAATAAAAACCGATTATGAATACCGGCCTACATCTAATTCTAAGAACTCGACGTTGTTTGTTCGTGTAAACTACGTGTCTGGGAACCACTATTTCGTACCTACAGGTACAAAGCTTTCATATCAAGCAATGTTGTCACGATAGCTGAGACGCCATGTTACACTAAGAAATGGTAAAAAATATAATAATTTTGAAATTTTTGATCGTTCTCGGCATAGACTTCACTTTCCAGACAGGTATTAATGCGTATACTTTAATCCTAGAAAAAGATTTTCGAATCGGTGAATGAGAAGAAAAGTATTTCTTATACAAAAATTATAGGTGCTTACGTGGTAAAACAGGAAGCTTTAGGATGCCCTAAATTTGTTTTCATTTTAGAGCTCAATTTTGAGGCTCACTAAGCTCACTTCACAAACAAAGTATTGCACTCCTTATATTCTTTTCTAAGTAATTCTTGTTTACCGGTAAATGCTCTTCACCGCGGCCCTCTGTCGATGGAGATGTGTACTGCTCGCTCGCTCGCGATTTTCGTGAAATTTTTTTACAAGGAATATTCATACAATATTCTAAACATTTCATCGACATTTCACATTCTGTAACGATTCTTTTACTGTTCCAGAACATTCGACACATTGGTAATACGAATCGAATTTTCTGTAAATATTTAGCATTAGCTGGGAAGCTAATAAGCGGCAATACTATCATCTGATTTTCTCGATTTCATTACAAATGTATATAAAGTTTGAATTTTATTAATTTTAGTTTTTCGTTTGGCTTTTACTGAAAGAGACAAAGGTACGATAATAAGAAAAATAATTCTAGTTGAGCTGACATTCATCGTAACGTTTTATTTGATTTGTTGTTTTTATCAGTTCTTATAGGTCGCAACAGATCGCGTAATATGTATAATCTTTTATAAGTTTTGTTTTTTTCCTCTCTTCGTCTGTTCAGTCTTTGAACAAAACTACTAAAAATAGACTCGATAAAATCAACCGCTTAAGCCTCTTTTTTTAAATATCTCTTATCTTATTTGTCAAGCGCAAGCCGATGAGATCTGAGATGCAGTCGAGGACACATTGTATACATTTGAGAAGATAAAGGAGAACGTCGCCCCCTGAAAATTTCTAAGAAACACGCAGCATAATAATAGTAAATGAACCGAAAACGCCATTCGTTTTTTAATTATTAACGCTTATTCGCTACGATATAAACGTTTTGTTCTACTAACGCAGCGGCATACATTAACGATTTTGATATTGTGCAATTCCTTAATTTCGCATTAGATTTTACAGATCACATGATGTTTGGTCTTGTTTTGAAAAAAATTGTTTTTAAAAAAAAGTTGTTGCTGCAAAAAAAATTTAAAAAAAGAAGTGAAATCGCCAATTTTTTAATAAAATGCAACATTCTCCTTTACCTACTATTTAACCATACGATGCCTATGTAATTCTCGTCATGTTGATGTTAACACCAACATACAGAGAATTACGTAGACACCGCATATATATATGGTGTTAAATCCACATCGATATTTTTTAAAGTTAAAAATTGACTTTATTGTGGCAAAGACACCCTCGCACTGTCCCGTCGCACTTTCGCTATTCCAAACGCACGCTAATTGCACTTTACATTCGCAGCTCCCCCCCGTTTCCGTCGGGATTTGAGAAAGTCTCACATTCACTGTAAGGAAAAGTTTCTAAATTTAATAACCTTTTACGATGACGCAATCCTTGAATACCTACATATGTCTCACTTTTAAAAAAATTCTTCTATTTTATATAGAATCAATATTAAGTTCCTCAAATCTTTTCTACACTATATAACAAATTCATGATATCCAATTATATCCAATTTCAATCATTTCTATCGCCACTGTTCTCTTACTCAATAATTTCATTAATTTAACTAAAATAATACAGATCAACAATTAGTATCAACAATTAGAGAGAGTAAATCAATACAAAATTTAATTTTATAATTTGTTAATTTTCATCTTTATGTACAATATTATTTTCTTTCAATTTGAAAGAATCCTACTTGTAAATCAAGTAATCCGCTTCGTTCATGCATTTATTTTGATTATTGAATACGCCGTACATGCGCGAGTCGGGCTCGTCACAGTTGAGATCGATGCAACAATAATTGACGGTTAACATTATACGCTAATTAAGTGTCGGATTAATCTCATTGTGGATCTGATATTTAATCGTCAGAGCGGTACAATGCGATTCAGACGATATCGCTAATTAAAATCGATTAATTATTATTGATATGTGCATGATCGTTTTTAGAGTACATTAAAATTCCAATTCTTTACGGATGCAAATGCAATTGTTTTTTCGGCAATGTTAATTCCTACTTTCATTGCGTCTATCTGATTTCTAAATCATTGAATCGTATCATTTAATGAGTTTCAAGCAATGAAACATTTTAATTACAATTTCCATTTGCGTGACACGATAAAAGCTTATGGGAATAAATTTAGGCAGATTTGTGTCCTGCATTATAATTAATATCGCAGTTTATTAAAATAATGTTTGATTATCTTTTGTTGGTATTAGAACTGTGCATCACAAGCTCGATTCCACAGAACGAATTAATGAAAGACAAGAAATAGTATTTGAGACTTTCTCATTCCCCCCGTCCCACTATTCTGACATCATAGTTCGTAAAAAAGCTCATTTCCGGTTTTACTTTCGCTTTTTCGGTTACAAAAGAAGTATTGTCATCATTATTAAACCGTCATTTGCTATTAAATGCATCGCTGAAAATAAGATATAGAAAAAATAAATAGAACTTACTTTAGCCTAGTTGTCGCCTACCTGTCGGAGGTAGATCCTCGCATAGAACTACTTTTCTATTCATTGATGTTTTTGATATCGAGACTTGCAATTAGTTTTGACGTGCAGATTTTGTAAAAAATTGCTTTTGATTTTCGGCTGCTTGCAAGGCGAATCGAGATCAAGGGCGGAATCTAAAATTGTGTGTGTGTGTGTGTGTGTGTGTGTCGTGTGTGTGTGTGTGTGTGTGTGAGTGTGTGTGTCAACGACACAGGGGTTTTTGTCGTTAAAGCTATCGTCGCGTAACTCTCATGTGACTCTGTAATTAAAACACTATACGAGGAGTCTACTTACGGCATACAGTACAGTGATTTCATTAACTGATAGCTTCGTTCATATAAGTTAATAGTTATAAATTGTCGAACAGAGAAAGAAAGAGTCAAACCGAAGGTGTGTAATCTAAACGGGGAGTCTCTACGAACAGTAACGAGACACACACTTCCTTTTAAAAATGTCTTCTCACTGCTAATATTTATAATATATAATATATATATTTATAAATGATAAGATATAAAGCCTTATATAGTACACAATATATAAATATATATATTATGTACGTGTTATATAAGACTCTATATATTTCGTTATGTTAGGTATACTCTCGCACATTTTAACAAATCGATCTCATTAGGCTACCCTCATCGTACGCGGTTGTACTTCTTTGAACGAAAGTCGTTCACGTCCGCTTTTGAAATCGTGAGGTGCGCATATGATACATATATCAACAATATATGATGGAAGGGGTATTTAATATTAAAGAGTATATAAATTAAATATACTAAGTACATATATGTATAAAATAGAAAAATTCCGCGTTTGTATTTTGTAAGCATTTTACCCCGAATGATCCTTTACTGTTGAGATAAGACGATGAGGAATTGCGATGAGAGTAAAAGAATCGACAAACGAATGTTTTTTTCTTTATTTCGTGATGACTAGGTTAAATTGACTAGAGGAATAGGATTATCGATTATTCCAATTTAATGATCGACGATTAAACGCTGCGGTGAAAATAGTTATCGACAAGTGAGTCGACTATGGATTGAGTATACCTAACCTTTACATTCATTATTTATATAATTAAAAGAGAACACATTTGCGCATCTTTATTTAATCTAAGGGGTTATCACTTCGGACTAAATAAAACTATTATGGCAGATTTTGGCAGGATGACTCAAATAAGTTGCAAATAATAATTTTGGAATAAATAAAAATTAGTAGTAAGTATATAACATTGAAATAATTCGCCTGAATTCTAGATTGTAACACTATACTCTCGAGTTTTCTTATCGATAATAAAAAATTAGTCCGCGATAACTCGATATGACGGGTTACTAAATTTGGCCGCTTCTAGAGTTTCTTTTTTTATATATATTACTTCCTATCGCCGCCTTTCTCGCGAACTTATCTGTAAGATGACGAGGAAATCAGGACGAGTTACAGACCGTTCAATTAGCATTAGCTGTTATAATTTTTCAAAGTATGAACGAACCATACATATATTGAACTTATTAACAAACAGAATATGTACAATCGCGTTAATTATTATTCGCTTCTTAGAGAATGGTTTTCGCGCTAGGCCGTATGCATTTACCAGTCGATACTGGCTGCTGGAATTTTCGAAAGATAACCGAACGATATCCTTTTTGGTATTCCATTTGTCTTCGCAATCATACAAATGTCAGTAACTCATCCTGTACGCATCGATCCTCTAAACGGAAAGAATGATTTTGAAAAGGTGTCTAAAAATTTAGTTAGATACAAATCTGAAAATAATTTCGTTTGAACTATTAAAATAATTATGTAGGATACTCAAATTGAACGCTATACATGTAGCATTAAAAAAAGTTAAAAAAAAAAGGAAAAGGAGCGAGAAAAAGCGGAGAAGGCAGAAAAGACTAGGCAAAAGGAAGCAAAGAAACTGGCGAAAGAAGAGAAGAAGATAATATACATACAGAAAAATATCATTCTAAATATCAGTCTCTGCTAACAATAAGAAAAGAGATTACTCAGTTTACTTTTTTTCTTTTTGAGTAATGGTTATTTTTAACATAAAAGAACATTTTCTCAACAACAGTCTCAAAATATGCCTATTAATCTTACTATACAGAAAAACTCATCATATATATGTACACAAAACAAGAATTTGTTTATGTATTCCTTAAAATCATTATAAGATTTTATCGAGAAAGTGATCTTATATTATAAGCAAATCGAATTTGTTTTAATTTAATAATCTTGATTAAAGTATTAAACTTACTATAGGAATCAGAATATATTTTGAATAAATTAAATTAAAAAGCTCCAGACATAGAGTATCATAATACAGGTATCCTAAAAAGTTCTTAGCAATTAAATTAAATTAAATTTAATTAATCAATCCAAGGTCTCTCGATGTCAAATAACAATATTACATATTTCAGCTATAATGTAATATTCAGAATTATATTGTTCAAATTTAATACAGTAGATACACTGAGAAAAATTTCCGGGCTTTATCCGTTCAAAAAGTAACAAACGGATATTTCCGATTGATTTTGATCGGATTTATAAGACTATCCGATCAAATTTATCGGATAGTCCTATAAATCTGATAAATTTGATTGGATAGTCCTAAAATTTGATCGGATAGTCTTATAAATTCCGATCAAAATCAATCGGAAATATCCGTTTGTTACTTTTTGATCGGACATTTTTCTCAATGTATATATTATATGTCTCGATTTACCTCTCTTTTATTTTTATAATTAACTTATATACCCTTTCTATTACTTATATTGAATAAATTTAATGCTTGTAATGAATGTACAATCAGCAGAACCGTTTTTTCTGTGTATATATAAAAGATATAAAATATCGAAAAAACCGCCAGTCTTTCAAAACTCTTTAGAACAGCTGTATTATGGTGTTCGATGTCACGAGACTTTTATTCTATCAGTCAAACCTTACTTTTAGTCCGTCAAAAGAGGAACTTCCTCGGCTTCCTTCCGCCGTGCTTTTGTTTCTTTCTTCGCTCTCTTCTTCTCTTCCTTCGCCAGCTTCTTAGCTTCCTTCTGTCTAGTTTTCTCGGCCTTCTCTTCTTCCTTCTGACGGGCCTTCTCCGCTTTTTCGCGTTCCTTCTCCTGTTCCTTTTCTTTCTTTGACTTCTGCACCTCTTGGACCACCGACACCTTCGGTACTGTCGTTGATCGTTTAGACACGATGCGGTTGCACGACGATGCCGACGATGCCGACGATGTAATAGCGGATATGCTTCTTGAGCTCGGCGGTATATCCATCTGTGTCACAATCTTGTGAGCACATCTGTAAACGCGTCAATTGCGAATTCACGAATCTGTCGCTTGGCGAATCTCTCGGTCGATTGCTGAAATTGACGATTGCAAAGATACCTGATTCTAGTGGAGGCTTTACCAGCACGATAATCCCTCTGGAATTCACGGATGGGGGGTAATCGGCGTTCCCGATTTTCCCGCAAATTTTCCTCCTCTTCGGGGATTTGTTGAATAGGATCTTGGTACGACTACAAATTTTCATAAATTGTTTATTCCACCGATTTACGTATACATGAAAAGAAAAACCAGTTTTGCTGAGGTGTAAATATTTAGCAAAGTATACCTTATATACATCCAAAAATAATTTTATTTTAAAATTAGAACGCCCAAACATTAGAATGTCAACATTTTTTGCAACATTGCTCATCCTGTTTGAATTTTTATATAATTGTTTATTGGTTTAATCAAATTATTTTTAGATCTGTATTTAGCTAAATTTCTAAATACGTCAGCAAAATTCTTCTTTCCATGTACTTTAGAAAACTCATTTTAAAAAATATATTATTCTTAAAATTAGACTATTATAATGTTACTTTATATAAAAAAAATATGAAATGTATTTTACGTCGAATATTGTGATAAGCTACTAACTTGAATTCGCATTTTCATCGATTGCGTCTGAGAACGTCTGAGAGTGGCGCCTGTGGGTTGTCGTATCCTCGTCGCCCTCGTCGGTTTGCCGAGAGAGATGCTATGCGCGGTCGAGGAAGTTGCCGAAGAAACGGAAGACACTCCTACGTGAGTGAATTGAAATTTGAAAGGAGTATATTTCTTTGTAGGATATTCTTTGTAATATATTTAAACCTTCATAGTAATTTGTATATTATTAGCAATTTATGAAGATTATTACAAACCAGAAACTGATGACGAACCGCTGGCCATCGAGTATAAAGAGGCAGAGGCTGGTACACTTCTGGTAGTTCCGGTCCCCCACCTGCTAGCAGATCTAGACATACCGGCTCCTGTGCCCATGTTATACTCTGACGAGCTTTGAGGGAATATCCAAGATTTACCCGGCAAATACTATAAGTTAAAACTATTGTAAATATCGGAAGTCAAGAAGTCACAGAGATACGGTACAATTCTACTAAATACATTGCATGAGTTTTTTTCTAAATTTAATGAAATTGAATAATGATGTAAGTTTTTTTTTGATTGATTAATTCGAAATGATAATAGAAAAAATTAAAACGATAGCAGAAATAAATTTGTAGCCAAAGATAACTTAACAGAAAAGAATACAAATTATACAGAGTAAAAGTAAGGTAGGAAGGAGCTTGCGATAACAGCGCATAACATTGGCCAAAGAGTAAACTTGTACCTATTCAAATTATTATCGACAATTGAGAAAATAAACTTCGAGAAAGCACTCTTTTCAATAAAAATGATTTTACAATGCATAATCGATTTGTATTTCTCCAAGCGAAATATATCTAGAATGATTATAATAGTGAGTCTATAAAACAGATTTCGGTAAATCTTTAGATTTTTTTTTTAGCGGATCCTCTCCTTCAATGACCTTCACATATGTTGTCAAGGTCATGACCCTGAGTAATCTCCAATAACTTTTTAATGAAGGACGAGCCGTCGCTCGTCCTTCATTAAAAAGTTATTAATAAAAAAAGTTTAAGAAAAAACGTATATGATATCCCTTTTTCACCATATAAAACAGAAATTTTTTACTTTAAAGTATATTTTACAACTTTTTACGCGAAGCGACTCCCACCCCACCTCCCCTCCTCCCTGCTTGGGGGGTGCACGACTTTTATATTTTCTTATATAATTTTTGTTCTTAGGACAGAAAATTTTTCCCTGCTTTATTCTGCATACATGGTTTACGATACATGGTTTGGTTAGGGTTAGGTTATTATATACCCATGTTTGATTAGGGTTAGGTTATTATATATCTATGGGTGTATAATAACCTAACTCTAACCCTCCCCTAAATTACATATTTACCTAAATTTTCTGCTAAAGCAGTCAACTTGTGTTTGCGTGGAAAGTCGTGCGCCACTAGTCAATGGAGGAGGTGGAGTGCAGTAGGTGGATGTAGTTTAGACAGTTTCTGATGTTATATATAACCGAAATAAGACGTAATGTTTTCAAACTTTTGTTGTTAATAACTTTTTAATGAAGGACGAGCGACGGCTAAATCTTGTTGGTGGTCACTCTGAGTCATGATCTTGATAACATGTGTCAAGGTCAAATCATGGGGGGGGGGGGGGGGGACCCCTAGTCTAAGGATTTACGTAAATTTCTTGCTAGAATTAGGAATTGTTTAAATTAGACAATTTCCTAGACAACTCGCATGTCTAATATTAGGATATGAAACGTTGTAAAGACATTATGTCCTAAAAAATGTTTTAATGACGTCTTTCTAGTCGACTCAAATTGAAAGTAACATAACGTCAATATTTTCGCACTCCACAATGTAACTGTTATGTAACACTATGTGTTATATTACATTTATATTGTAGAACACGAAATTATTGACGTTACGTTACTTTCAGTTTGTGTTGCGTGTTCTAGACATTTTTTAGACATGGTGCTTTCTGGATATGATATGCTGGAATGAAAATTTATTTATAAAAGTTACATTTTTGTGAATACAAATTACTTATATTTAAAGAATAATTTGCAATATGCCGAAACACCTTTGACAGTTAATCGTACATAAAAAAAGATGGTATGCGCGTCATGAATGATATCTGAAAAGGAATGCGGCACAATATTTTCAGCAATTTCGATTTATCGAGGTTGTTTTTTAATCATCCTGTTACACAAATTTGCCATATTTGCGGCTTTGAGAATTCCGCTCCAATTAGCAGTGATTTCGTCACGATCATGCGGTGAGCGTGAAATTTATTGATTTGTATGTACACGAATTGATTTGTTGAAACGAAGTTGTAGGGAGACAGTGAAAAATTAAATTACTAAAAATAGCGTGTAAAAATAAATTCAAGAAATTTTTTAAATGATAAAATATGTAAACGAGGAACAAGTAATTAGCGTGTGCATCCAAATACGAAAAATCTAAGTTGAAACGGGCACTATTGCCACTTACATCACGCGGAGGAATATAAGTCTGCTTCAATCGTAGGATTTTCGCTCTGCATATAACGCATCTCAGCGGCAAAAGCCTCTGCGACACTGCCATTTGTATCGTTTTGACGAAGCAGCGTCTGCAAAACAGCAAAAACAGATATGAAGTCGAAATATAATTAAAAGAAGTGTTCTAAAATGCAAAATAAATTAAATTATAACGTAGCAACACTAACATGAAAAATAATTATTACCTATTTCGAGCTTTTATTGTAATAAAAAGAAAGTACACACACACACACACACACACACACACACACACACACACACACACACACACACACACACGCACGCACGCACACGCACATATGCACACAGAGTGCATTTGAACAGGTCATTCTAGAAATCCTATAAATAAAAAAGTCTAATCTTTGGAGAACTAAAAAAAACAATCTAGTTTTTACAATTGTAGTACTAAACACCAATTAAAGAAATAGAACATTAACTTCACACACAACAATGTAAATGTATATATAATATAATATACAGTATGTAACAAAAATAAGTAAACATAAATGTTTTCAATTTTTGAGTAGATTTTTCTAAACTTTGAAGTTAGGTATTCTAGCAATGGTGATAGCCAATGTCAGGGTAATGACCCTCCATTGTTTTTCATATATTATTCAAACATTTGTTTTGTCTATTAACAGTGTTATATTAGATTCATTAGATCATAGTACTTACAGGAGTTGCAAAAGTAAGTAAACATCTTAAGTTTTTGTTTTATATTTTGTTCTTGAAACGTATTTTATATTATCTGTGGTATGTTGTAAATTCATAGAGTCTATAGCAATTATTTTGATGCATTGAGGTTATGTTGTTATATTTTGAAAATATATTTTTTAATTTTTATTAATATTTATTTGGCATTTGTGTATTTTTTTAAGATTAAAACGAAAAAATGGCTGAAAAAAGCATTTGATTTAACCAATAAAGAGAGAAGAATAGTTATTAAAATGAAAAATGAAGGATATATATATCGAGAAATTGCTAGATTTTTCAATAAAACACCGGCAGCTATTTTTAAGATAGTTACTGCTCATAAGAATAATGGATGAATTTCAGCTAGATTCAAAGCTATTGAGTGAAGGTAAGAATGCACCATCTACGCAAACCATTCGCCGTCGATTGCTCGTATCAGTCTAACCATGGATTCATCGGTCCAAAGGACATTTTTCCAGAATGTTAATGGTTTTAAGACATGTTTATTATAAAAGTCCATTCGCTTTTTAAGATTCTTTTCGAAAGATTCACGAAAGATAATTTCCTTGCAACACGTCTGCCTGATGAGTGCAATCGGCGGCGAATGGTTTGCGTAGACGATGCATTGTTACCTTCACTTAATAACTTTGCAATTTTGGTGTAGATAAAAAGGGATCTGATGACGAGATATTCACTATTCTTTTGTCTATTCAAACATTAGTGACTTTTGGACGTCTTTATGATCTTGGTGCAGCTGAAACTCGTCCATCATTCTTATAAGCAGTGACTATCTTAAAAATAGCTGCCGGTGTTTTATTAAAAAATGTAGCAATTTCTTAATATGTATGTCCTTCATTTTTCATTTTAACTATTTTCTTCTCTCTTTATTGGTTAAATCAAATGCTTTTTTTTCAGCCATTTTTTCGTTTTAATCTTAAAAAAATACACAAATGCCAAACAAATATTAACAAATTAAAAAATATATTTTTTAAATATAACAACATAACCTCAATACATCAAAATGATTGCTACAGACTCTATGAATTTATAACATAACACAGATATAATATAAAATACATTTCAGAGATAAAATATAAAGGAAAAACTCAAGATGTTTACTTACTTTTGTAACTCCTGTCAGTACTAATGAATCTAATATAACACTGTTAATAGACAAAACAAATGTTTGAATAATATATGAAAAACAATGGAGGGTCATTGCCCTGACATTGGCTATTACCATTGCTAGAATACCTAACTTCAAAGTTTAGAAAAATCTATTCAAAAATTGAAAATATTTATGTTTACTTACTTTTGTTACACACTGTACGTGTTATTGCATAACAGTTACATTGTAGAGTGTAAAATTACAAGTGTAAATTTACCAGTGTAAAATTACAAATGTAATTACTGTATTAATTTTAGTTAATATTTATAGGATAAAAAAATTAAAAACGTGTAAAAATGCATTAATATCTCATACATTCAGTAAATGAAACATACACTTTTAAATTTTATTTTTAAAAGATCTAGTTGTGTGCGTGTATGTGAAAATTTTGACTTCTGTGATATTTCTATAAAATGAGCATTTTTTCGTGTATATAATAGAGTTTTTTAAATTAGGAAATTCTGTAAATGTAATGAAAGATTCCTAAAAATGTTATAAGATATAGCAGAGAGTTTAAAAAAAAATTTAACCTTATATATTGTCGAAAAACACACAATATGGAAAAGTAAACACGTAACATTGAATTGCTTAAAAGGCATACACCACGACGCAAGATATTAGTAGCGATTATTTTATTTTCATCCACTTTACATTAATAGACGTTTTGGTCATAAATTAGACCATCTTCATTTTCGAAATATCGAAAATCATCCATGGACTTCATTGGAACACCGATATTATATAGTTTCACTAATTAAATAATAAAAAATTTGTTAATACAATCATGAGAACAATAAAAAACAATAAAATTATAATTTATTAGAATCAGGAAATTATGTATACAATGATATTGGATGGAAAGTAGAATATGGGACTGAATTTAAGGAAAAAAATTCTTCTGGAGTATATGACTATTCAACGATGTATATAAAATTTGTATATTGTAATGACGTAATCTTTGGATATAATTACTAATTAAAAATTATAATTAAGAATTAAATCATATTGCGGGATGAGGTAAACATATGTAGATGCGTTCAATAAATTTTAAATGTAATACTGAAGATGGTCTAATTAACCGAAACGTCTATTAATGTAAAGTGGATGGAAATAAAATAATCGCGACTAATATCTTGCGTCGTGGTGTACGATATGCCTTTTAAGCAATTCATTATTTTTAATTTAACCACCGTTTGACTCTCAGTTACGTAACATTGAGTTCCAATGTGCTAAAGCGATTTATTATTGAGTGTACTTTTACAGAGTAGAGAAAGAAAAATACGAGAGGTCACTATTTCTTATGTGAATGTGACAGATTTCAAGATTTGTAGACCAAATGTCTAAGAAAGAAATGCTTGATTATTGTGTGAAAGAAAATTGTGTATCTATCTACCTTCCTTGATTTTGAACTATATGTATATATACCTCGCAATAATTTCAACAAAACTGAACTTATAAGATTACTGAAAAATTAATAATTCATTTAAAATACTTAGTGATGCGCAAATCTACGCTTACATTAAGCTCATTCACTCACCTGCAAACCACTCGATGCCCACATGGCGCGGTCTGCATCGTTGCCCTCGCATTCACGCATATGACGCACTGGAAAAAAAATAAAGAGGCGCATTGATTGGACGCATGCGAATACGTCGAACGGTAATCTTTATTGGTAATCACATATACGTTAATACTGGCTATTAGGAAAAAATCGCGAAAGAGCACAAAGAAAAGATCGTACAGCCGCTTTTATTCATGTTCATCACGAAGCGTGACTTTTATTTTATTTACATAGTTTTTACGCGCTTACACGTATAATGTCATTAAATCCCAGGACGCACGATGTAACACGTTGTTGTTTCTTAGCGATCGGGATGGCTGCCGCGATTAGCTGCCATAATCGACTTAACGTAATTAGGCGTCATTTTAATCGAAATATTAATAACTCGAGTCAAGAGGGTGGGCGAACACGTTAGAAATCGAAGGGTTGCAACCACCACTTTGTCATCGTCGTTAATCGACTTTTGCGACCGACTGGGCGGCCAATTCGTTCGGAAATTGCGACTTTTCCGGACGGCCGGCTATATTTTGCACGATACAGATACTCTGTTATTTTCTTCATCGTGTAGCTTAATGGTCCAATCTAGCGTAACACTACGCAACGAACCAAGAAGATAGATACAACATCTTTAGTATTCTACAGAATTATATAATGTTTATATTAATATAGACTATAATTTATAAAATGTGCGTTTATTTTTTAAAATATCTTATAAATTTTATAAAATGTATAATACATTTTATGTGTATTTTATATATATATAAAAGTTGAAGTCAACAAATAAGCGCAAAAATTATCTATCGGACGCAATTTCTTTAAAGGAAAAAGTTGTTTGTTTTAGCATAAAGTCTTGTACTTCGCGGACGCGAATTTGAAAACCCCGCATATACACTGAGAGAAAGGATTTTGTTAATTTAGCAAGCCACCGGTACCTTTAACAGGTGATCGGTAAATATAATATGACAACAAATTATGTTATTGTGATTGCTGCTAGTCTGCTATACCAACCAATTATTAGTAACAGAAACAAACTATATCGAATCTAACCTATTTTTTGGATAGACTTTAACTCGTTTACATAGAATTCGTAGATGATCGTGGAGTCTTAAGTCGTAGGAAACTGATCAAGCACAGTCAAAAATAGGGAGAATACTTGACTAGAATTAGTCAATTTCTTACGATTTGAGACCCTGCAACCGTCTACGACTTTTATATATATGTATGAGCCTTTTATTTGCTAGCAATACTATTGATTATTTGTTACATTGACGAATTAATTTGCAATCGTAACAATCGATCGTTTTTTTAACAAATATCACATTTGCTTTCCCTTGATTTGTTTCTATAACAAAATCATTTCTCTCAGTAGATATATATATATATATATATATATAGCAAATGTAATTTCCATTAAACTGTTTTTTACCGACTAACTTCAATTTATGTTTATGTAGGCACGAAAACTTTGATGTAATCTTTAAAAAAATATGCTTTGTTCCTATATTTATATATAAAAATAAATTTCATAATAATATAGATATCGACAAAAATATATGTTAGATGTAGAGAAGACAAAAACATACACAATCAATCTTAGAGAATCTCATAGTGTAGGATTAACAAGAAGAAATAGCGGTTGTATTGATCGATGCCAATTGAGATGGAAAGAGTTAGTTTCTTTTTATATCCGTGATAAAGTCGAGTGATCACGAGAAAGGGAAATTTCACTATTCAATTTCATTTCGCCATTTCAGAATAGTCAATTAGACAACTTATAACGCTTGCAAATATCGCTTTAAGAAAATATGCGTTCTTACTCGTGCTATCACTTTCGATTCGTTTCTTACCTCATCTTCCTGTGAAGATGCCAACTCTGGTTCGTTTTCTTCTAGTTTTGTGAGCAATTTGTCCTGAAAAAGAAGAACAATTTCTTTTATAGTGATATTATATAAACAAATTTAGTTTAATTTTGTTCAAGAAAGGAACGTCCAATTTACTGGCAATGGAAAACTCTAGAAGTATTTATCGAGTTTTTCGAAGCCAATTTTTTTTATGAACCCTAAAACCAAAAAAATATACATGTCGCGGCGTCAATATACAGCTTTGTTTTCGAGTTATAAATTTCTTAAAATTCAAAAAAGTAAACAATTGCTCCTGCGAATCGGGTTCGTATTCGAGGTTTGGCAACTTTTCTTTTTCTTTAAAAATGTTTCTGAATGATTAAAAAATTTGTTTTGCACACATAAACTAGGTATTAATGATGTGTACGTTCCGAGACAACGGAATTTCGAAACGTTCTATTTTATTGCAAAAAAGATATTTTCTAAACGTTTCCTTGACAAGCTTGAAGAATAAACGCGACCCGACAATGAATTTGTCAACACGCTATTGTAAGACTGTCGCTGAGAGTCTGAATTTTTTTAGGAAGGGGATAGAGACTATTGCATTTATGTCGATATTCATAGTATTAAAAAAAAATATGCGCAGGGTTATTCTTGTCCCAATGTATTCTAATATGTTAATTGTCTCTTATTGTTAGTAGTCTCTTGTCCAAAAGATAGCAATTTATTGTTGCAAAAATTTATATATTGTAATATCCATAAGTATTCTTATTGTTTGAAAGAAGTAATAAACGCATCAAATACATTTTAAAAAAGAAAAAAAATTACCGAACCTCGAATGCAAAGCCGATTCGCCGAAGCGGTCGTAAAATTTTACGGATTTTTAAAAATATATAACTCGAAGTAACGAGAATAAAACCGCATGTTGATAAATGCCGTGACGATCGTGTCACATATATTTGGTTTTGGATTCAAGAATCACCAAAAAAATTAGTATCGAAAAACTCGATGAACACTTCTGGTATTTCCCTTGTGTGTGAGATAAAAATTACCATAATTTAATTCTAAATTATAATTATTTCAGAGCTAACTATACAAGTCCTTGCTTTTATCGTATACGACACCTGCAGAACGCACAAAGTTAAGACGGTACGATTCACTGATTTTAAATGTTTATAATTCAAAAATTATTATTTCTCCTTGACATTCTAGTATTAGAATTTTCATCTTAAAATGATCTCAGAAATTTACACTTGAGCGTTGTTAAATCTTTACGGGATACCCTGTATATTTTTTTTGTAAAATATAATTATTATTACTAACTTTATAAGATAATAAGTATATAGAAACAGAGTTTTTAATTATAATTGTTTTATCGTGCAATTATAATCACAAATACTACACTTTTCTCTCAAGTGTAGAAAAAAGTGTTGCACGATAAAAAAATCTTTTGCTCTCTCTTCTAGAAATAAGAACATTATTTTCGCACAAATAAAAAGTTCTTTTGTTCTCGACCTAACGATGTGAAAAATTTCACAAATACCGGAAGCGCAATAATTAAAACAACTTTATAATATCGCATCAATTTTCGTCTAGCATAACATGTTACTGTTAGCATTACCGGTTAGCATTAAAAATGGAGAAAAGTAGATCGTTATGCTCACGAGATAAAGGTATGAGAGCAACTACAAAATGATCAGCTGCTGCTGATTCCGGCCAGTTTCCTCTCGAATCTGGCGTAAGACGATACAGTAAAAGGCTCCCAAGTGCAGTGCGTCATTCGAAACTTTCGGGTGCTCGACAATGCTCCCATCTTTTCTCGTGCCTATGCTGTGTCATTTATATATTGTTCGAAGAGGTAAATTGCTACCAATGTGCAAATTTGCTCGATATTTCTTCGAATTTCCGCGAGTGCCGGTTATTTTCATGAAATGGGCTGTAATGTAAATTAAACGTGCATATTAATATTTCAATATTCTACTCAATATTTATATTTGATGATGTTGTGTGTGTACTAATATTTTGTTATACAATTATATGCTTCTATATAATTTATCAAAACCTGCAATTAACTCAGAAGAAGATATACGAGTGAGAATCAGATGTAAGAAACAGTGTTTGTATATATATTTAACGTAAATACACTCTTCAAACCAAACAAATCAATGTTGGATCGAAACTAGATCATGCAATTACTCGCATGAATTTTTCATGTAAACGGCGCACATGATCGTGTTAAGTGCAATTCCGTTTCATTAATTACAGGCGACCGTACATGTGCCGGTATGATTTATACTAATGATGCTAACGAGTAATAAAAGTGCCACAAATGCAACTGGACTCCGGTGGCAATTAGCAATGATGGATGATTCGTTAAACAAGAAATTAACGAATTTGGCAAACATGCCATTTCGTAACGGGAGCATTTGTTTTCGTAATGTCCGCCTGCGTAAGCGAATAATCGACTATGTTGAACATTTTGAATTTTATTTTTGTTCTTGTCCGTGTATTCTATATCAATCGATCGCAAATCTTGGTTAGTTATTTTAATTGTAAATAGCCGATGTGACCATATTCGGCACGGTGTGCATCGCTTCTTATGGTTCTCATCCAACTGGAACGTAAAGATCGCTCGAGAAATGTAATATAATTTGAAATCAGGTAATCAGGACGCGTAACGCATTCTATACGGAAAATACATTCACGCGGTTAGCTATACGCTACGATAAATTTCTGATACGGCAGCACGCCACGTGGCATGCTTTCTTGAGATAACTCGAGCTTTCCACAGCGGAATTAAAGTGCGGGCCCTTTTTTTTACACTACTATAAGTCGTCCGGTGCAGTGTAACTAGTGCGAGAATCGAGGACGTGCATGCTTTCACCTGGCTAAAGTTAAAGGTCGTCGTTGACAACTACTAAATCCAGTGACCCCTTAAACTTAATAGCAATTTAATGCAACGCACCGCGAAATTCATGTACGAGTCTTAAACAATATAATTTATGAGCTGCACGATATTTTAGAATGGCTCTTTCTCTCTTTCCTGCATTAGTCTTTCCATTCGGCTGCCCACACACATACATATATATGTTTGATTGATTTCTTATTATATTAACTATTTTTCCTTTGATTACGCTCTTTATTTTTTTCTGTTTGTATCTTGTATCTTTTATTATCGCTTTATTTTATTCTATTTTTATTTATCTCCTTTGTTTTTTTTTTATTTATAATTTATGAATTATTTATATTATTTTTAATTGTAAAAATTAGAACAAAATCAAAAATAAATTAAAAGAAATTTTATTTTTTGTATTTATAATTTTATATATATTATTTTGTATACGATAAAACGTCCGTCCCAGAAAGTCAAGAGTTCTAGATTCAAACCCTGACTGATTGTGAAACGTAGGATATTTATCGCAATAAATTTTTTTACAGTGTTTTAATAGGTTTATTATCATTGTTATTAAATTGACGATCAATATGATTTATGATGTTATTTCCAGTTTTAATTTATAATTGAGTTTTAAGTCCAACAAATCGGATCGGCGCGCATTTTATAGAAGGAAACGTATTTGCAGATTTGCATATGAATATCATTAAGCTAATATTATTAACCAAGCTTTAGCCGAAAATGGAATTTTTCTTCTCTTATATTATTTTTCCTATTCTATGTTATTTTTTTTATACGTTTTATTTTGATTATCTGTATGTTCTTATACTGAAAAAAGTTGTTCATTTGACTAAATTAATTATTTATTTAACTAAATTAATTTAGTTGTCTTTCTTTCCTTCATTGAAAAACGATTAAATATAATATGTAGATTTAAATACATATGTATATTCTTCATTGAAAGAAATAAAGGCAAATTATATTAAATCAATTAACAGAAATAAACTATCTTCGGGGTTAAAACAGATCTTAATGCTTAAATATTTCAGAGTGAATTTATTATACATTTCCAATTCTGTGCAAATCGCGAAATCTTTCGGTCTTGAAACGCAATCGTGAACAGAACTAGAATAGTAATATCACAAATTAAATTGACAAGTAATTTAATCATTTTTTTTATACTAATAAGCATCTTAGAAAAATATTAATAATTTGATACTAATCTAACAATAAGTATCTTAACAACTGTAAATAATTTAATTTATTGCAAAAAATACTACCTCGGCCGCAGGAATCGATTAATTTGGTCAAACGAACTATTTTTTTTCTCGATGTAAACAACTTTTCGTAAAAAGGATATTAATCCTCTGTGTAAACGAAGATCATTTACATCCAGGCGATTTTTAAAATTAAGGCCATCATACATACAAAAATTTTAATTGTAATCATAAGGCGATAAAAACATCACAATCACAGTCGAGAGTTTTAAAACGTGAGATTGCATTTTGATGATTTGATGATTGGTCGATTTACTTGTAATTACGACTAAACTTTTTGTACGCGTAATGGCTTTTATGAACATTTCGAAAATAAGTGAGTCGGGCGCGACTCCTAAAAAAACTTGCGGAGTGTAATGCCATATTAACACTATATATAGACTATCTTTATCTATCTTTCTCTACGATTGTCACGTTAAAAGATATTGTAGTCTTTGTTTCGGCGATACCGCAAACATTCCCACTGTTCGAAGAATAGCGCCGCGTGAAATGCATTCTCGATGCAGCGTCATCAAACCGGTGCAAATCGCGAAGGCGTATAGTTGTTGCTTGGTAATGTTGATTATGTCGATAATAAAAAGTCTGACGTTTTGCTGTAACGGTTGTGCATAAGACGATGACCGACATTGCAAAAGTCCAATCTCTATATTATCCCCGTTCACTCTTCTCACCTGTTAACGGTTTGTTGGAAAAGATAACGTTTCTCCGATCGTAAAAGTTTCTTTCACGAACAGATCCTGCGGTAGCGTCAATCCTAGCGTTGATATAACCATTGGTGACGATTGTTTTCCGCGGTGGAATGTTTTGAGCCCGAGCAGACGGGCGTGAAAAAGCATCGTGAATTATCATGGCGAAAGTGTAAACGGTGACCTATTTCTCGAGGGGCTACTTGAAACTGTGTTTAATTATCCCGTTACACAATCGTGAAATAAATCCCGGAGCTCCAGGTCGTAAATTATATTTAGAGGCTTTCACTAATCGTAAAAATTGTTTGTTCTGCCTTGATCATTCAAGTGTTTTACAGTTTTGCAACCAGTAAATATCATGAGTTAAAATTCTGATTTCAAACATTTGCTGTACCGTCGAGTAATTATTTTTTTTTTTTTTCGATAATGTGAATACTTAAAAAATATTTGTTCATAATTTGATTAAAACTGTTATTCGATTATAAATTTTCGTAAAAAGTCATTCATTTTCAATACTCTATCGCTCGCTGGATATAAGGAGTTGAGAAGTGCAAACGGACAAGCAAACTCGACAGCCACTTAACGTTTTCCGTGCAAGCTTAATTACATCGGAACACGACATCACGTGCGTTGCCCAAGTACAAAAAAAAACAGCAAATTATTCTTGTGTTTCCCTCGGCGTTGTGTTGATACACGCTACCAAACAACGAGATATATATAATTGGAACAAAAGTTCGTAGCATTACTTTATTTCTATCACGTTTACACGTTTTTGAAAAAATTTTACAATTTGTTAGAGTAAAGTTTTAGATTTAAAAATATATTTCTTGAATTGCGAAACAATGATTCTTAATGGAGTTATAAGAAATTAAAAGCAAAATGCTTCTTTTATTTAATTCGCGATAACTCAGTAACGAAAGGTCCTCAGAACATTTACAAAAAACAATTTTATAGCGAAAACTTTAAGCTATCTTGTTAAAAAGTCGAAAATTTTCTCAAATTTTTTTTCGGGGATACGTGATAAGCCCACAAAATGAGAAAAAAGTTTCCTATTTTATTCATCTCGTACTTTCTATATGAAAAAATTATCAAACTTACAGAAACTCAAAAGACATAATAACCGCGAAAGTAAAGACTTCAAGCTTTAAAACTCTTTTTTAACTTAAATTTCGTTCATTTTTAATGAAGTTAGAGCTGTCTGAATTTTGCAGCGCTTTCGTAACGCGCTTTCGTAACGCTACAAACTTAAGTTCCAATCCAATAGATACGAGATACTTTGGTGTGTTTGTTCTTGAGTTTATACTTCACGTGGAAGTTATGACGTTCATTGTTCGATGATTAACTCATTTGAACACAATAGCTCAATCAGAATTTAATCAGAAACGTAGATTCTACATGAAAAGAACAATTTTGCTGAATGATCTAAAAGTTTACTGAATACGGAAAATAATTTTGTTAAATCATCAAAATAATTATGTTGGAAAATAAGAAATAATGAGCAATGCTGCAAAAAATTTTTATATTCTAGCAACCAGTTTCCAAAATAAAAATATTTTGATGCTTTAACAAAATTATTTTCAGATCTGTATCCAAAAAAATTTTTAATCTTTCAACAAAATTGTTCTTTTTGTTTAGATTATTAAATGTTAATCAATTGAAGGAGACGGTAATTCCCCTTGACAAAGAAGCATATCTTAACTTAGAGCTGACGTGGATTTGTGGCCCGGTCTCACCAACTCCGATTAAGCTAATCGGTCGATTAAATTTCAGTATTGCCAACTGCAAGACTGAAAACATAATTTCCTGGCAGCTGTGAAGAACGATATAATAATAACAGCATAGGTCCTTATTAATGGCATATTTCTCAATCGCGAAAAAGCCGAGACTAGGATATGAGTACTCGTCGGTGCCTCGCTAGAAAAAGATTTTTTAAATCTTGCAGTCGGCAATATTTAATCGGCCGATTAAGTTGTCGAATTTGGTAAGACCGGCCCTATTAGACTCACTTAATCAAATTTCTTTGTCAAGAATGTCAAACAATTCCATTTTCATTAAATTATATTTGCAACTTTAGATTATTTTTATTAAAAGTATATTTTCATTAAAATATACTTACTAGTGACTAGTCTATTCATTTTTTATGTCATTTTGATTAACAAATGATGGTTGTAGCGTAGGTCGAGTAGTGCACATTTACACCGAAGTTATACAGGCGGCCTATTTCAGGTCAGGTCACCAAAAAGCGAAGCCTGAGTTACCAGGTCAAGTCATCTCTCAAGCGTTTACAGCAAAGGACCTAAATAATTTAGGCCAAATTTAGGTTATAAATTGCGACCTAATTCATGGTGTAAACAGCCATTGTAGTAGTCATTGTACATGCTAACTTTGCATACATTGGGTAAATATTGAGCTACATTCAATATAAATAATTATGTATGGTATTGTTACTGATGCTGTGGGTGTATAAAGACGCCTCCTATAATACATATATTTGCTAATGTTGGCAAACGTTGGAAGCACCTTTATGCATCCACGACATCAGTAACTATTAACTATTATTTTGGCGTCAACTCCAGAGGATTAAATGAATTGAACACAAAGGAAATTAACACAGCTAGGAAACACAGCTAGAAACATATTTACCTTTTAGATAAATATAAGTGCTTTCGCGTGTCCGCGAAACCGAGCAATGTTCCTGGCTGTGTTCCGCGTGGAAACATTTTGCACGGCGAGGGGAACTAAAAGGATTCTTCGATAGGGTGGGTATCGCGCACCGACAATCTCCGTCGGCCATACGACACGCGACATAACGTGACCATCGCCAGGTTCAATGACGACGACCGCGGCGATTGGTCGAGGCCGACCGTCGTTAGCTTTATGCACAATTTAATACGGAAGACAGAAACGCATAGAGGGTTGAGCCAATAGGGCCTTTCGAAATACATTATGTACTGACGGTACTTATCAAATGGATTTCTTAACCTGGCTGAATCAATTGAAAAATAAGAATACCATAAACTGAATTTAATATTTACTATTTGTAATTCTTCAATTGAAGTCTCATACATGTATCATGTCTTATACGATATCGCGAGATTGAAATTGATTAGTTCATCAGATTTCCGTTAAAGGTATTATCTCTTCACTTTTGTTACAGGGGACACTATATTGCATCTGACTCTGCTTCCGACCGGTACGTGCTTCTATTGCTGCCCCATCCAATTGAATCGGGACGTCCAATTTCTATTGTATACCAGGTACATGTGCATGAATCAGAATTACTGTCACGCAATAATGTACCTATTCCACAAACGCTTTAATTGTAATTTAATATCGTTACCTATCGTTACATTAAGACCAAGACTATTAAACGGAAATTAATAATAATTAATCAGAAATTTTGTTAATCTATTAGTTCTTTAGAAAGATGTCAGCTAGACCGTTAATTAATCATTAACTAAGAATTTGAAGATTAGTTTTCCGATAGTCCGCAAAACAACGAGTCCATCATCGATTGTATTAAATTTCACAAATTTTGCTCATCATAGCGACATTTTTCTTGCGTTTCGCATTAATCTACGACAGGCGGAATCCAACGTATCCGAATGTATTGGATTTTAATGATGTCACAACGCTGCGAAAGAGTAACTTCAACGATAAACACCCGACTATTATTTACATACACGGATACAGCGACAGTAGTTCAGGAAAAGGTCCCATTAGTATACGAAATGGTACGTACCTTATAAATATCCAAAACCGATAAGCAGCATGTCGCATACAAAGTTATTGTTCGCGGAAAAGGCTTTGACGTAAATGCATAAGGAAAACAGCGTTCTGCCAAACTCGACAGCGCTTCACTCACGGAAAAAGTTTTAAGAATATCTGAAAAATTTGTGAAATAAATTTGAGCTTGTTTCACAAAACTTCGATGATGATAAATGTATGTGGCCATTTCCAGCTTCTTGGTAGGCGCGTGATGCTACAGCGACGTATCGCTCTGAATGCGAAAATAGCTTCTTAAAAGTCATCGCGATGCCTTCGTTTTTCTTTCCGCTCGTAAAGTTCGTGGTGAGCGAATAGGCTAAATCCATTAGTAACTACATGATCTACAAATCTATCTTGCTAAACCTCAAGAGACTGTCAGAATGACGAATAGTGGACACCATAACTTGCTACAGTAAATTGTGAAGTTTTCCACTCTTCAGCGCACAAATTGATCCAATTCAACTTTTAGTGGCCCCAAAGGAGTTGTCTTCGTTTATTCCTTGTTTAAAAAAAAAAATCTACGTGTTTATTTGATTGTTTCTAAATTGATACAAACCCCGTTTACGGTCAAGTTATCAAGAGAGAATGAGGTTTTTTTCTTTTTATATTTTTTATATGTAGAAAGGCTGTAGTGCGATATTTTAAAGTTATTGTTTTTCTATAATGTAATAATTTATATTAAAAACTTGATATATTTTTATATATTGATATAGTTTTATGATATAAAAATTATCTTTTGTTTCAGCTTTGAGCCGCTTTGTTTATTTGCTTAAAAAAGAGGAATTTTACTTTCTACTTGTTTGGTTTCTTTTTAATTTTTACAAACACGGTTTACGTTATCGAGTGAAGCGATTGAACGATGCCTTTTTTAATACTTTTTTATATGTACAAAGATTTTAGTATTTCCGAGTATTTGTTTCTACAGTTCATTAATTTATAACAGTTTAATATATAGCTTTATAATTTAAACATTTATTTTATGAATCTAATTTACTCTTTGTTTCAGCTTATCTGCGTAGTGGGCACTATAACGTGATATTGATAAACTGGCCTAAACTGGCAGTCTTACCATGGTACATAACAGCAGTGAGAAATGCCAAAGTTGTCGGACCTTACTTAGCGCACATGATAAGTTGGCTCGACGCACAGAAAGCTGTATCTTTATCCAAAATTCATGTGATCGGCTTCAGTTTGGGCGCGGAAGTTGCTGGTTTTATGGGAAAAGCTTTGGCACCTCGAAAGGTTAGATACTGTAGAATCCGCTTAATAACGATCACCACAGTTACACCGCATTGCACCGTTCGCTCGACTAATCGAAGGCCGCATTATCGGAACTGCATTAGTGCCAGGAGTTTCAATCGAGACGCGATATCGACGAGACCGACAGACTATATGTTAAGCGTGTGTATTTGTGTGTGTGTATTTGAGAAACGCGCTTTTAGATAGGTAGAATTACTGGATTGGACCCGGCTTATCCATTGTACATGAATACCGGTGAGGACGGTCACTTGACATGGGCCGACGCTGTCTTCGTTGATGTCATTCATACTGACGGCGGCAATTTTGGATTTCCAAATCCACTTGGCCACGTCGATTTTTACCCGAACGGTGGCGTGAGACGACAGCCCGGCTGTGATTTGAAGAGCATCGTTCGCATGGGCTTCAGGAAACTCATAAATCAATACAGTGAGTAACTCGTTACGATGTCGAGCCGCGAGCTCTCTTACTATTGTCGAGATCTTTCTTTCTCGAAATACCTCATTCCCTCTTTTAACCCTCTAGAGCTGACGGATGTATTGAATCGATTCAATTATATTCTTTATGTTACACATCAACAAACTTGAATTATTGTTATTAGGTTGATGCAAATAAAATGACGGTTTTCTATAATATGTGGTTTATTATAATATGCGGTTTATTATAATATGTGGTGATTTTTATCAATATATTCTCCAATATATTCTACAACATTTTTGATGCAAATAAAATGATGTTTTTCTGTATTACTATTAAGAGTAGCCGTAACTTCATTAAAAAATGAACAAACTTTAAATTTAAAAAAGAATTTTAAAGCTCTCTCTCTCTCTCTTAAGAATTTTACTTTCAAAAACTTACTATATTTTTTGAGTTTATGTAAATTTGGTAATTTTTACATATAAAAAACTACTAACTGAAAAAATGAAAAATTTTCTCCTAACTTTGTAGGTCTATTACGTGCCCAAACAAAATTGAGAAAATTTTTTACTACCTATCATGAAAGCTTGAAGTTTCCTCTACAAAATCATTTTTTAATAATGTTCCTACGATTTTTTGTTCCTGAATTATTCGCGGATTAAGTAAAAAAAAAGAATTCTGACTTTGATTGCTCCGTTAAAAAATATTATATCGCAATAAAAAATATACAGATTTTAAAAGCTGAAATTTTGCTCTATCGAATAGTATAATCGCTAATTTTTTAAAAATGTTGTAGAATATATTGTAGAATATATTGTAGAATATATTGGAAAATCACCACATATTATAGAAAACCGTCATTTTATTTGCATCAACCTAATATTAAAATAAATTTAGCAATTCATTCTTTTTAATAAGAGTGCTTATTATATAAGAGTGTGTTCCTTAAAATTAATTGGTGTCTTTTAATTGACATATATTAAATAGATATTAAATCCTAGATAGCACATAAATATACTATAGAAATGTTTTATAAATGTTTATTTAGAATACTCATATATTCTATAAATACTGAAAATATTGTCAAACATTAATGATATGTTCATAATATTTGAATAACACAATTATAAATGTTTTACGAACATGCATAGAATATTTTATATAATGTTTTATACAATATTCTATGTATTTTTACATACGTCTGAATCTGATCTTATCCATATTGTAAAGTTGGTACACTATGTATGTGCAATTTACTAACTCTACGAATATTTTGAGAAACATTCTATGAATGTTCTTTTTATTACGGATATGAATTTCTCATTAGAATATTCTATATATTGAGTCGGAACAAAAATTCGTAGCGCTACGAATTACAAAATTCAAGCAGCTGTAACTTCGTTCAAAATGAACGAAATTTAAATTTACAAAAGGGTTTTTTTTAAAAAAGTTTTTTTAAATAAGTAAACCTTATATAAATAAAGTAATATATTACGAACAATGTTACAAATATTGGAATCGACATTAGAGAGTTAATATCGCGTTTCGAAGCATCTACATCACCGTCATAAGTTTCGCTAAAAGTAAATCGTTGTTTTCTGTTTAGTTACCTGTGGACACAATCGAGCGTGGCGTTATTACGCGGAATCAGTGGAGAACCCTTATGGATTTGCCGCGAGTCGATGCCCAAAATGGCGACCCGGGATCTTGGCAAATTGCGTGTGGAAACCTGAGGCTTACATGGGTTACGCAGCCGATACCAAGTATCGGGGCAAATTTTATTTAAGCACGAATTCACGATCGCCGTACGCCATGAATTTGACAAGTCACAAACTTAGCAAATGAACGTTACCATACGTTAATCTTAATTTGGATGAACCAGATTAAGAGGCGAACGATTTTCGATCGCTTCTGCCAGGATGATTATCTTGGATAAAACTTGACAGTGGGAAAATATAAAAAATATTTTTTTGTAATTCTTATATGTTTAAACGCGGGAAAGCTTCTGTATTCCTGTTACTTCAGTATTCTCTATAAACGATTCATGACCTCAATTAGTGTTACTTTTTCTTTGGAGAATTACTAAAGTGACATTGGAAGTTTTTTCTCCTTAAAATAACAGAGTACGTGATGGAACATGGTTTGGTGTAGCAACAATATCGAAAAGTTCGAACTAAATTGCGATAAGTTGAAGGGAAAATAACTAACTTGTGCTGACTATTTTAATGTCGAGCACTGTGATCTCGTGCCAGATAGCAGCACGTTGTTTACAACATTTATCGTTCTAACTTCTAACTCTAGCTTTAATTGTCAATGCTCTACGAGTAAACGTCACATGACTATATAGTTATACATCTATAATTCAGATGAAATACGTGACCAAATTTTGCAACAGCGGACTTGCTGAATATATAAATACTCACTTTTATGACAAACGATATGTGGAAAAAACGAATTCAAATTTTTGTAGAAACATATTTTTAACTTGTATTTATATTATTAATATACGTTGCCTCTTTTATGAGCGTGAAGAGTTATGTGCAAGAGTGAAGAGTTATACACAATACTAATCGCTCAAATGAATTGATATTGATTAACTGCAATTAAGTTTAATATCTATATCTTTTTTTATAACGATGCTTTTATATACCGCGTGAAAAAAGTATAGAAAGCTAAAATAAAATATCAGAATAAAAACGCTAATAATCGAGGAAGCAACTTGCAATTTTCGTGTTATTTCCTCTACATCCTGCCTTCGAGATATGTAAATTTCAAGGCCGAAGAATTTTATTATTTTCCATCTTGGGTAATCGATGAGGAAACCTCTGGAACCATATGCCCTTCGAACAAGAGGAAGCACGTGCTCATATTAAAAATTACAAATGCCAGCTTGAGAGAATATCAATGAAGAACCAGACACATGTAGGAAAAAGTTGGAAATATTTAAAGAAACCCCGAACGAATCGCTTTGTATTGCTTTTATTCTGCACCATTCTAGAATTATGAAACGCAGTGATTCTCTACGACTATCTTCATGTGTTTTTAAAGATTGTTTATGACTAAATTAATATACTGAGTTTGTCTCCGTTAATAATGTTTAAGAATTTTATTTCTTATGGATGTCCATAGTTCGTCCTCTTAAGAAAGTATGGTTCCGCGAAACTCATTCAACTTCATAGAACTTGCTGGCCGAACTTAAGTTTCGAGACAAGCCAAATTGCACGTCGTGGCTGAGAAAATTCCCTCTGCCGTTTTTAATGCTCATTAGACGAAGATAACTTTTCTCGTCCTTTTACGGAAGTAACTTTCTCAAAATATCTCGCGAAAGACTTCTAAAATCAGTCCACGAAGACAGCTCTTCATTAAATTTTATCAGTGTAGTTATATGTTTGTATTATAAGTTCTTTTAAAGATATACCATGTCAGCGATTATGAAAAACATGAAATCTGGACTATTGAAATATAGAATGAAACAATAACACTAGTTAGACGAACTGTAGACAGAACAATATAACATATTCAGTGGTCGGAATGTAATTTCAAGGATCGATAAGATGATTTATGTACGACAGAAACATTCCCTGACTCATCTGGAAGATAGCACCGTGACCTTTCACGATCGCGTACCGTTAAACTGCATTGTTCGATTTCGGAATACATTTCGTAGAATGAGCAATGAGGTAATGTAATCAAGCGCGTGGAAAGCGAAAAAATCGCGCATTGTCTTTTAAAGCAAAAAAGAGAATTCCCTTTCTCTCTTTCTCTCTCTCTCTCTCGAAAGAGACGTTAGGAGAATCGACAAAGTTGAAAATACGGTAAGCCTTAGAATCACGAACGACATAGACTCCGTGGGATCTGGCTTGCGGTCAATCAACCCGGCATGTACACTGAAAAATTCAGTACGACGGGCAGGTCGATAAGAATCCAATGGCCAGGGTTATAGATGACCCTAGTCTTGAAAGACCACGTTATGTGGAAGGTGTAAGGCGGTTTTCGCAGTCTACGCTTCAGCACGTTCGACCGTGCTCGGTGTTGGTTCCTTCTCTCTTGGGGAGAAGCTCCCTCGAGTATCGTTACCAGCTATATTTTATCATGATTATATATACATATACAGCACGTATGAAGTTTCTGTGCATTTTCACTATTATTTAGAATTTATCAGTTTAAAAACAATTTTTTTCGGCAGAATTAAAAATTTGGCATTGTCCGCTTTCAAAATTTAAATTTATTAATTTATTAATTTAAATTGATTAATTTTATGATTTTTTATGCTTTCTTATTTTCTCTAATAGAGATTTCTATTTTCGCATCTTTTTTGCAAAGTGCTTAAAAATTCGTAAGTTCAATTACTATCTACAAAAATTTAATACTGAAAGGTAGTGATTAATTGCTTATTTTTAATATTAATACAATCACTAATGATTGTAAGACCCACTTAATATAAGTTGATTAATTTCAAGGAAAAGCATTGATTAATTTCAAGGAAACAAAATGAAAACTTGTATAAAAAAAATTAATGTTAAGTTTATTTTAATAAGAATAATCCAAATTGTAGATATAACATAAAGAAAATTGAATTGTTTAATTTTTGGAAATGGAATTTATAATTGATCCTCCATCAATTATAAATTTCTTTGTCAAACAATTTAATTTTCTAATTATTTTTATTAAAACAGATCCACTACTAATAATTCACTATCAACTCAAGGATATGTATAATTGAATGGGACCAGAAAACCTACATATGTCAAATTCGCAGAATTAGAAGCACTATTATTCAATGCTTTTAATATATAAAAATTATCAATAATTATTTTTTTAATATTAAAATTAGCCAGTATAAAAATTTTTGTATAGAATATAATGGATAAAGTCCGGAGTTTATAGATAGATTTCGTAATTTCTTAATATTCGCACGGAATTTTCTTTGCCAGCCTACGAAGAAATAGAACTGTCTCGCGGTTATCGTCGTCGTTCATACACTTTGCGAATCGATGAAACGAACTAACGTCGGCGGTTTCCGCGCTGCTAAAATCGCTGCTATGTATCGACCATTCGATCCTTGCATCGTTGGGAGCATTGTCCTCTACGGAAATGAGAAACGAAACACGAAACGTACCACCACCTCCACCGCCACCGCCGGCGTCGTGGATATCGATCCTTCTTTGTTCTCGTTGTTGAACATGCTTAGACTCGAGCAATTCGCGTGTGCACCCTATGACGGTTACATTACGTGTGCATGTGAAGAAAAACTCGGACGAGTACTTCCTCTATACTCTGTCTCTACCATTCATACTTTCTTTCCATTCTTCGAACCATTTATCTTGAGTAAAGCTTACCACGTACAGGATGTGTCCCAAAGCGCTAACATAATACTCTCATTTTTCTCTGCAGCTTGTCTTGTAATATCAATCGATGAAATGATGACAGCTTTGTCGAATAAGAGATAAATTGAGTAGCCCATTAGAAAAAGTCATTATCTCCACTTGAAATGTTTTTTGAGAGAACAAAAGCTGAAATAGTTTTTCTTATGTCATTCTTATGTCATTAATAAGATCTTTTTTTAAATTAAGAAAAATTCATTATTTGTGTTTATTAAAAAATTCATGTTTTAGTTAACAAAACGTAATAATACAATGTGCTGTAGTATAATATAGCATGAAAAATACAATTTCTATTAAAATAGAATTCATTTTGCAGCTAGCGAAATATTTTAGCTGATTTTAGAATAAAGTGTTTATCATTTTTATTAAATATTGATAGATATAAGTGTAATTGTAACAGTGAGATTTTGCAGATTTAACATGTTTTCTCTCTACAATAGTAGGATTTAATTTTTTTGCAATTAGGCTTATCTTTTTTTATAATTTGCAACTGTTTTCCATATTTTTAAAACATTCATAACCAAGAAATCCAAGGGTTGCAATCTACTTCCTTTTTTTAATTTTTTTATATAACTACTTTTGCATATTGGCTATTCAACTACAATACTTTCGCATATTGGCTATTCAATTATTCCTTGTTTTACATGGCTTTGTACTCCACACCGATTCATTTAGCATAAAAAAAAATGTTCAAATACATTCGATAATGTCAGGCAATTAGCATCGTACAGATGTTTGCGTTTATTTGTCCGAAAGAGACCACCAAAGGCATTAACGTCTCGTTAATATTTATTTATTACAAAGGACGCGAGCCTACAGCACGTCATGAATAGACACATATACTTTTATGTTTTCAAAGAGGTCATTATTTCAGACCTTTATTATTACAAACTCCGAGAGTACACCCGATGACATTATACATTCGTGACTGTTGTCCGAGGTCCGAAGGGTGCGCGAACTTGTCCGCCCTTTCCCATTCTATTCATTTTGTTCTGTTCTAATTCCAAGCTGTCCTATAATGGAACCCGAGTAACTAAATTGAGTCTGTTTTTCCCAGACAGTCAGAAACAACACTGTAGACAAATGCAAATCTGCTTTCTCATGCACATTTGATAGAACGCTATATATTTACAACGCGAGAAAATATTCGAGAAATAACCTTCGATCATCGAGATAAATTATTCGCATTTTCGAAAATAACAAATTAGTGTAAAAATTAATTCAGACTGCTGCATATTTCACTTTGTTTAAAAAAAATAAAATATAAAAGATGCAGCATTTTCTCGCGGTAATATGAGATTTTATTAAAATATTTATAATTTTGAATCAGAGAAAGGAAATGAGAATTGAATATTTGAGATGTATGCAAAAAATTATATCGTTCCCTTCCCAGGAAGAAATGTTATATATATATATGGACATATTTTATATATAATTTTATATAATTTTATGTAATTATATATATAATTATATATGAAACATTTATGAATTATAGTATATGAAACATTTTTCCCCCCCGGATTACTTTGAAATAAAAGTGATGTAAAAAAATGTGACTTTCGAGTTATTTTCATGAATAAATTAGGTAAAGATTATTCTATCACCAAAAGTAAACTAACTTAATTTCACAGTCCAGTCCCAAAATAGCACTTGTGTCGTTCTTAAGATTTCCAAAGAGATCATCATCACCTTCTACAAAAGTGACATATTTGGAGTTGTGTTATTTTTGTAAATAAAAAGAAAAGTCTTCTATAAATAATTTACACTGTTAGAAATCAAAGGAATGGTAACCCAATCCCATGAGTTAAATAACATTTTATTTTTCACTTCCATGAATTGTATCATTTTTTTAAATAAGAGAACGATTGTGCTTTTTCGCTAATTAAAATTTAAAAAAGAGTTTTTAACAAGAACTAGTTAATAATGTAAGTTTAATAATAACTCTTTCAAACGCTCGACTTCAAATCTTAAACCGAGATCAATACCTGCTCTTGTAATACGATATTATGTTAATATTATGTTAATTTATGCATTGCTTTAAAAAATGTTAATATAGCGGAAAATAAGAGTTAA